ATAGACTACTACAAACTTATCTAACCATGGTCTAAACAGGTCATTCATACAACGCTGAAAAGTAGTTGGCGCGTTGGTTAGTCCAAAGGGCATCACTACAAACTCATAATGCCCATATCTAGTCCGGAATGCCCATATCTAGTCCGGAATGCAGTCTTATACTGATCATCAGGATGGACTTCTATCTGATGGTATCCGGACTTCAAGTCTATCTTGGAGAAGTACTTACAACCCTGCACCCGATCTAAAAGATTGTCTATCCTGGGCAGCGGCTCAGCATTCTTCACGATGATCGTATTCAAACCCGTATAGTCTATACACATTCTCAACTCTCCTTCCTTCTTGGGGACAAACAAAATGGGTGCTCCGAAAGGAGACGAACTGGGCCTGATCCAACCTTTCTCAAGGAATTCGTCTAATTGCTTGCGGAGCTCCTCTAACTCTCTAGGGGACATCCTGTAGACTGCACCCTTAGGAGTTCTACTGCCAGGCTCTATCTCTATCCTGTGCTGAATGGGTCGCGACACTACTCCTGTCCGCGACTCAATCAAGTCTTTAAATTCTTCCAGCAGCTTGGCAATTGTTGGATCTGCGGAGCTATCCTTTTCCTGGGCCTCAGTGACAGGTCTAACATAAACTACAAAGACCTGATCTTTTAACTGCTCCTTCTTAACTAATCGCGCGAACGCGGGAGCACTGAGACAGCAATGTGCCAAGGTGTTGTCTACACCCGACACATGGAACAAGCGGGCAGTCTTAACTTCGCCTGCCTCACTAGGGAGCCTACACTCATGCTCTCACAAATGAAGTGTGGTCCCTGCTGCCTCCCCCCAATCCATTCCCAACACTATATCAAAAGGAAGATCATCTTGTACGAGGAGAGTCAGGGAATGGAAAATTGTCTCCACCTTCCTATCCTTCTCTAGGCGAAAGCACGCCTGGACTCCCTCTACGTAGTCCTCAACTCGCATGGTGCGGTTGTCTGCGAGGACACTGACTATGGGGTCTACTAACTTCTGGACTTTTAGTCCTAGCCTCAACTTCTTCAGCGCCCTACGGCTAATGTAACTGCAGGTAGCCCCTGAGTCTATAAGGGCCCCTACTCTACTTCTAAACACCTCTACGTCTACCAAAATCAGTTGTCCCTCACTCTCTCTTTTCATTTTGGCCCAGGCTGGCATCCTCTCCTTTAACTCTTCTGCCACACCTGTGAGGGACGTGCCTAAAGAGACGCTAACACAGGTGGTCTCTGGACAGCTATCTAGGCACGGGCCTGCAACCTCTGCCATAGGCTCATGTGGGTTGGGAGTGTCCTGTTCGCGCGCGCTCACTTCTCCACATGGCCTTGAAGTAGGGGCAGTTGCAACCCCTACTGGCGGCTGCCTTTTGACTGCTGGCCAGCCCAACGGGCCTGTCTATACTTAGGACAAAATTTAATTACGTGCGCCAGGTCACCACAAAATACGCACTGACCCATGTTCACGCGTTCCTGCCATAATTGTCGGTCCAAGCCCAAGTCTTCCCAGGGCCTGCCCTGTGGCAAGCCTGGGTGCCAACCTCCTTGAGGTGCCCTTCCACCTCTTCATTGTGGGGACCAATTACCCTGGCGATTTGACCTGGCGATTTGACGGGGGACCTTGACCCCTACCTCCCGCTTGGCGGTTTCCCTGTCCGCCAACCCCCTGTGACCCTGTCCTCAGCCTCCCATGGCCTGGCCCCTTTGGCCCTGGCCTCCTCCTCCTCCTTGCAGCCTCCCTCCAGCCGCGACGGCAGCGTAAGACCTCCCCTGCCCCACACTACTGCCATCATCTTCAAGGCTCCACTCAATCTGGTCATATGGGACCTCATCGGTACCACCTTCTTGTAATGTCAGGATAATGTGATCCTTGGCCTTTACTTGGCCTGAGATGGTACGATTCTTCCACTTCTTCCCCTTCTCCAGGTCCTTATGCCAGAAAGTGGTAACTGGCATAGACTTTGACTCATACAGGACGACCTCCCTACTTAATTGATCGTATGTGATGCCAACCTGCTGAGACTTGTCAAAGAAATGCCCACGTAGGGCCTCTGGAATGGCACGATAAAACAACTGAACCAGCTGGGGCTCAGTGACCCCATGGTCCGGGACGGCTACCAAGTCGTCCATGGTACCCTTCAGTGCCTTGGCACTCCTCCACTGCCGTGAGTGGATCGTTTGAAGCTTGTTAGAAGCTCTTATGCCTCTCGTTGGGTCAGCGAAACGCTCCTTGACGAGCCTGAGGAATTGGGAAAGAGGGGTGACTGTAGAGTATGCAACCAGGTTGTTTTCACAACCGGCTGTACGCGCAAGAAACCTGGCGAAACTAGCCGCTTCATCTTTGAGGGCCTGGAAGGCCACGAGGACTTGTTCCTCTGTCAGGATATGCTGTAAATAAATGTAGCTATTGACACAGGCCTCCCAGTTGTCAAAGTTCTCGTCCTTCTTTCCCCAGTATGCGTCTGGGAACTTGAGCTTCACTGGGTCCTTACGGGGTCTGGCCTCTCCTTCTACAGCGGCTGCAGCTTTGGCACCCTGAATGGCGCCCTCACAAAACTTCCCTACATTGTCCCTCAACTGTTTGACTTCGCCCCCAATATGGGTAACAATTTCGCGCGCAAAATCCCTGAACCCGGACCGCATGGCACTCAACGCTACATCCTGGCTGCAGCTTGCCTGGCGCTCCTCCATCCAGGCCTTGCTCAACACCTCTAGGTAGCCCAATACTTTGTCCCACTTGGCCTTATCATCTGGCTAGGCCAGCACCTCCGCTCTACACTCCTGCACCTTTGCCACTGTGGCAGTCATCTTATTCACTTCCTCTTTTCTCCCCTTCTTCTCCCTCTTCATTCTCAACTTCCATGCTAACTTTTGCTCGTCTTCCCTCTCTCTTCGTTCCATTGGGTCTGTCATGGCTGCTAGCTCAGTGGCCAGGGCAGCCTTCTCATCCTTAGTCACATAGGACTCCGCCTCCTCGTCTTCCCCAACGATAAATTAGCGACCCGCTCGTTGATCTTCTTCTCCAGCTCAGTATCTATCTCCCACTTCATCGTGCCACCACTACTTCCTTCCCCACTCTCAATTCTCATCCTCTCTTTCTCTTCTTCTGCTGCCGCTTCTACTTCAGCAGCCTTCCTTCTTTCTTCCTCCTCCTGTTGTTCCCTCTTCATCTCCTCCTCCAATCTCTTCATCTTCGCCGCGTGCTCGTCTGCGATAGCCTTTAGCTTGGCTTGCTTTTCACGCTCTTTCCTCTCCTTATTCTCTCTAACTAAGGCGGCCATCTTTTCTTGCTGCTCAGTGGTGTACGGGCTAGTCTCCTTCCCACTACGGGTCTCAACCATGGTGATAAGTGTACAACCGGGTTAGTGGTTCCAAACCTCACCACGTAGACATCAACCCCTAACTCACAGACCTACTGACTCAATCTAAGACTCACAGAATCCTGACAGGGATCCTGTCAACTATGGTCTCTAGCCTAGACCTACACTATGGCTGCCACTACTGAACCAGTGGCTGATCAGGAGGCATTTAAGGAGATCCCCCGTAACTCCTCAAGAATTCTTTAACGTCGCAGACAGGACGAAGTGATCAGCTTGGTTCTGCCTGTGCTTTCAGCCCACAACTCAGCCTTCCCGGCCTACTATGCCACACCGAGCAGCCCGCCGGTCTATACCGGTCCTTGGGAGGGTTCGTATCCCCCGGGACAGTCGAGTCGTCAGACACAGATCATCAGCCTTACTTGGTCTGGTAGGGGAGTGGTTCCAACAGGCCCTCAACACTTAACGACGACCTCCGTTTCAGCCTGCAGCTCAGAGTTCGGACCCTCTACACTGAAA